CCAAAATTCATGAAACATGACATGTCCAAAGACAAACCAAAGTCTAAAAAATTTAATTAATATATGTAATGTATTTAAATAATTAAATTGGCGATGATTAGATATATGGCCCGTTTTTAGTGAAAGCTGAGAGTGACCTTTGCCCGATCAAATTCCAAGTTACTCAGCAACACATGTTATGGCAAATGGACCACAATATATAGCTTATACAACTTCATAGTATTAAAGCACAAAATTTTTACATATTTATTATGATATAATATAAATACATCTATGATTACCAAAGAAACTAATACATTTCAAAAATGTGTATACATTAATTTTACCAGCAAATTTGTGTGTCCTAAGGATATATAATTGGGCTAAAGATTGGCAACCTAAAAACATAACACAAAGGTTGATGTTAGCCAATCTAACGATTACGCGATTATATATTTTGAATAAGGTTGTTTTTACTTTTTAAATAATTTAACGGTTAGGCGTAGTATTTTTTAACATATATGCATATGTCGAAATTGAAATATAATTAAGAACAATAAAGATTAAATATGACAATATTATTAGAAAAACATATGATATAATTAATACATCAATTATATAAATAGTGTTTCAATTCAATAATGAATAAATGAGTATAATCATTACATACCACTTAGTCACTTACATCCTATTTCTTTCTTTGTTTAATTTAATTGTCTTGGGTCCAAATGTGATTTCACCCCTTTTTTTCTCATTAGTCACAAATCCACACTTTACATTCTTGCCAACAAATTAAATAGGGCTTTATATTATATAATTTCAGTGGGTCAAAATAAATTTACCTACTTTATGTAAACTAAGAGTGTGAGCATAAATTATCCAAATTCAAACAAGCACAAAAAGATTAAAACGTACTGTATAATACATTTGACTGCAGACTGTACTGCAATTACCAATAGAATCGAATTATTCGATAACCAAACGCAAGGTTTTTCGATTTTGAGATTTTTTTTCTCAAGTTTTTCCACCAAATCCACTTAACAATATTCCTACATATAATCCAAAATAATATATACAAAAAGAAAACACTAGCTAATACAATGCTTGTTTAAAAATATATATAACTAATAGTACATAAAAATCACACAAAACTACTCCTATATGATCAATTATTGAAGCAATAAAGGGAGAATATTTGGGGCCCTTATGTAGTTATTGGTGACCCCATTTACCTATCAAGACTTATGTGAAAATAGTGCTTTGCATGACTCAATCCACCAATCCACCATTATTGCTCTTCATTCTCCTCCATCTTACCCTTTACTTTGGCCAGTTTGCACAGTACATATATAGTCAAATTTCACTAAGGCGAGTGTGGCGGCGTCTGCCGATTGGATCACAGCGGGTATCCTCTCCTCCTTCAAGAATGGGAGCATGGCTCGAGCATGACATTATTGGAGTGTCGTATTCCCGTCGAGCACAATTGGGGTACCCCAAAAAAAAATCACTAAGGCTTAGTTATTCTTATTACAGCCTGTATGAAAAGAATCGATTAATCAAAAAATAATAAAATTTATTTATAGCTTTGATTTGAGAACGTTTTTTCTAAAGTATTTTTGTTCTTTAGTTCTCTGTTTTTCCACCGTTTCCCAAAGTAAATAGTGCAATTTTTGTAGTCAACCAAAATAAATCAAAGTCCCGTGTGTGATTAAAGTATATTGCTGACATTTGATTAAAGTTATTGTACCAATTGAGATATATGATATTGTGTGCAAGTAAAAATTTCATAATAAAAGTATATTAATTTATTTTAATGATTATTATATATATTATATAATGTAAAATTTATTTAATGCTCAGTACAATCAAATTGACCTCGCCCGAGCATATACTAGTTTTTTTTTGTAAAAATGTATGATGGGTCGACCCGACCAACAATTAATCCGGTATAAGAATTTGTGCATAAATAATAAAAAATACTCCCATCATACATACATAAGAATCCAATGTAGAAAAAGAGTAGACCCCAACTTAATTAACAAAGAACATTAATTAATTGCAACCTAAACTATTTAAACTATTTGCCAGGTAGTAAATAAAATAAATTGAATGTCTTTATTTCTTCAAAGGGCATCAAGAAGTCAAGCGAAAATAAATAATATTTATATCAAAGAGTTTCATATATTTCAAACTAATGGAAAAATCAAAAAGGAGATTTGATGGCTCACCAGCTAACATTTGACTGCCATTATTTGGTGATTAATAATTAATTAATTAAGTATATGTAATCTTTTTGGAATTTTATATGTTATTTAAAAATAAAAATATAATGCATGTCATCTTTTTGGAAATTTATATATAAACTTTTGTATGTCGTCCTATATTTAAACTAATAATCTTGGCTTGGCCCCATTGTTTTAGTGGTTACGCCACTTTCAGTGACTGATGGAATAATAATTTAGCGATTAATTACCCAATTGTTTAGCGAAATAAAAAACTTGCTCCTGAGATTTAATTAAATTTAACTAAATAAAGTTCACTTATATTCGTTCTAATTAAATGTATTAATTCCACCAAAAATTGCACATTTCAAAAGATCTTTTTACCACAATAAATGTTGGAAAAAAAGGTTGTTATTAGAATCACCAAATCAGTGTTTTTCAATCCGGACCCAACCTAGGGGTCGACCCGGAGCCAAAACAAGTCCGAGTGAGCTAGTTGGCCCAGGCAACAAAGGAACCGGTCAAAACTTGGCCAACCCGACCTTGACCCCGTCGACCCAGGGAATTGACCCGGCGGCTAGGTCAACCTGGTTGATCAGGTCCCTATATCTATTTTTTTGTTTTTTGTTTATAAATAAAACTATGTATATATATTTATATGGTAATATTTATCATGTAATACATATTATTACCACTTTAATCTACAAATTACGTACAAAATATTTAATTTTGTTACTTTTATGTATACTAATATGACAAAATACTTTATATATAATTTTAAAAATTTTAAAATTAATTATCCAGTTCAACAATTGACCAGGAGACCTGTCCAGATCGATTCCCAAACCGAATTTAAAAACTATGCACCAAATTTAACTAGATTCTAGAGATAAGTTATTTTGACGGAATATTTTAGTTTGAACTTTTTCAATAAATGTTATAACACTAGAATTTATATTTGATTATTATATTGTAATATGTTTTTATAATGAATGGTAAATTTGCGGGGCGCCATGAGTCTTTGCATCAAGAAAAAAAACTTCTTAATTTCTCATTTTGTGGAAATTATTGCAAATGATAATTAATTTTCAAAATGGATATGAAAAAAATAAACATATAGTAATAATAATAATAATAATCATCATAGATAATAGCCTAATTAAGGTTAAACTTAATTAACGAGTTTAGAAAGTCATGGTTGATAGTGATACACAGATCTTGATATCCTCATTTCTTTGTTTTATTGCAATTTTTTCTAGCTTAAACATCCTTTTCCTATTGCTTTTTTTTTTTTATTATTATTATTTTATTTCAATGTTTATTAATCTTGTTTAGACAGTAACTTAACATGCTATGTATTTATGTGCTTTTCCGTTTAATATATTGTTAGTTATTAACTTATTATCCATGAAAATGAAAGCCCTTTACATTCTTTGATAAATAATATTGCTTGTAGAGCGGCGTACGGCGTTGGTTATTGGATTAATATAATCATCAAGTTAGTGAGGATTTTGGTTTTAAAAAAAAAATAATAATAATAATTCAATACAAAATAGTGCTTCTAAATTTAATTTTCACAAGATTTCATATGGCATCATTCTAAGAAAAAAAAATTTTGAGAATTTGCGTGGTTGGATATTAATTAGTATATCTATGTGAATATATTTATTTGTTCCAAATCTACTAATTAATATAAACATATAAAATCTACTAATATATGCTTATATTTTATATAAGCATATAAAAATATCATTATTTTTTTTTTTCGCTTTTATTTTGAAATTTGACATTGGAGCATAAAAAAGTATAAATAATTTATCGAAAATGTATGACTACCTGACCATAATAGTCAATACTAGACGAAACGAAGTGAATTGCTCGTGACCTCGGCTCGCTTTGTTTGATAATGGAGGCTAACTTGTTTAAAACTCGTTTAGTTACTGAGTCGAGCTCATTACAACTCAAACATAGAAAAAGTTTCTATTATTCGGTTCATCAAGACTCTTTTTCGACTCACTAAAATTGATAAACGAGTTGATTTCTAACTTATTTATCACCTCAATAAAAGCTCGAGCCTAGCTAGTCTCAAATATTAAAGAGTTCGAGCTCAGATCAGCTCATTTAATCCTCTAGCCATAACTATCTAAAAAAAAAAGACATGAAAATAAAATATAGTGAGTGAAATAACCTTAAACATTTCCAGGATTTCTAATATACTTTTTAAAAAGAAAAAAAAAAATATATATATATTTATATATATTCTTGTCCCTTTTTCACTTGTTTTAAATTAAATTAATTATTCTACACCCGTGCAAAAATTTGACTTTTTGGTTTTAATATTTTCTCAAAGATCTTTGATTCGAATTTGGTGCGTCTTTCTTTTAGTCTATATTTTATTTTATACTATTATTTTATTTGCATGTCCACTATTTGACTGAGGTGACATAAATGTCTATGGGTGGTTGATTGTCTTCATTTCTTTTCATCTTCTTTATTATTGGTTTTATTTGCCCCCATTTTCATGTATTCTCTTTTCCAGCCCTTCATAATAATGTTTCATTATATATAAATTTCATAACACCATCCTAACATGTTGGCCATCAAATGCTTATATATAGCAAATTATATCAAACTCTCACAAAATTAATTTTCTTTAAATTTTTTTTGTGTGTGTGTATGTGTGTGTGTGTGTGAAGATTATAGAAAATCAATGAGAAAAACAAACAATATAGCTCAATTTGTTGATTTGAGTTACACAGTTTGGTGAAATACTTAGAAAAAAAATAAAAAAAAAAAAAAATGAAGTATATGAAACTTGGGTGTAGACCTGACACTTTCTACAACACAGAGAATGTTAGGTAAATTGTTAATTCTCTTCATTTCATTATTTTGTTTATATTTCTTTCATTTATTTAAAAATTTTCTTCACAAGATAGTGAAAAAAATAAATAAAAAATTTTAGAAGCCCATTAGATAGTTTGTACTATTTTGTTATGTTCTTGATTTTGTGTTTTTAAATTTTCAGGTCTGTCTCATCAGAGGTTTCAAGTGATCTCATCATCCAAGTTAAAGGAAGCAGATATTTACTCCACAAGGTACAGAAAATGGAAACTTTACTCCACAAGACCTCACACTTTAGGAAATTGATCAATCAATCAAATGTTTATGTTCTTGTTGCTTTGTTTGTGTTTTTTTCAAAAAATTTCAGTATCCCCTGCTCTCTAAATCCCTGCTCCTCCAAAAACTATGCTCCGAAATCCCGAAAACGCCCTCGAACCTCCACATCCTCCAGCTCCCGGACTTCCCGGGCGGGCCCGACTCGTTCGAGCTCTGCGCCAAATTCTGCTACGGCATCACGATCACCGTCAGCGCCTACAACTTCGTCCCGGCCCGTTGCGCGGCCGAGTATCTTCAAATGGCCGAGAAAGTCGAGCCGGGCAACTTGATCCAGAAGCTCGAGACCTTCTTCGTTTGTTGCATTCTCATCGGTTGGCGGGACTCGATCGCCGTCCTCCGGGCCACGCGGGCCCACCCCTTGTGGTCCGAGGACCTCGGCATCACGACCCGTTGCATAGAATCCATCGCTTCTCGGGTTGGGCCGGGCCGGGCACGTTGGGCCGAGGACATATCCGAGCTCGAGCCCGACCTCTACCTCCGAACGATGACGGCCATCAAGTCATTCGGGAGGGCCACGGTCGGGGATGCTCTGCAGGTGTACGCGGCCCGCTGGCTCGATCGGGCTGGGCCGGGACGGGCCGCCCTGGAGGCGGTCGTGGGCCTGCTGCCGGACGAGAGGGGTTCGGTCCCGTGCGGTTTTCTGGCTCGGCTGTTGAAGGATTCGGGTATGTTAGGCTTGTCATACTCGTCCAGGAATGAGTTGGCGAGGAGGATCGGACTGCAGTTGGACGAGGCCAGCGTGGACGACGTGCTCATCCCGTGTTTTTCGGAAGGCGTTGAAAACGGGCACGACGTGGACATTGTGATGGCGATTTTGGAAGGGTTCATGTCGAGGGGGCTCGGGAGCCGACCCACAAGCCCACAAGGGCACCGGAGGTCGAGGTCCGCGGATTCTGATTTTCGGGAGGGGAGGAGATCATCCTACGCTTCGCATCACGGGTGCTTGGTTAGGGTCGGGAGGCTCGTCGACGGGTATTTACGGGAGATCGCCAAGGACGAGGGCTTGCCACTGCCGAAATTCGTCAGCGTGGCCGAGGCCGTGCCCGAGTGGGCCCGGTTGGAGCATGATGACCTTTACATGGCCATCGACACTTATCTAAAGGTATTTTGACCTAATTGGCCTCTTGTGGTGGGAATATGTGTTTGCATTGTTTTGTTCTTGTTTGGCTATTGTGAGGAGATTAAAATAATTTTGCCTGTTGTGCAGGTGCACCCTGAACTCGACAAAACCGAACGAAAGCGTTTGTGCCGAATACTTGATTGCAAGAAGCTGTCGATCAAAACATGTTTGCACGCAGCCCAAAACGAGAAGCTCCCGTTGAGAGTGGTCGTGCAAGTCCTCTTTTTCGAGCACGCGCGAGCTACGAATAATCTCGAGCTAGCGGGAGGCATCAAGGCACTAATAGAGGGGGACAATGTACCATCAAATTTGGCCACGTCTTTTGGTAAAAATACGAAAGTGCCACCGGACGACGAACAATGGAGGTCGCCAAAGTCTAATGTTTCCACCTTGAAAATGAGGCTGGCCGAGGATGACGACTCGGACGACGACTTTCCAGACGGGTTCGAAAAGTACTCGAAAATGAGGTCCTTCTGCATGATCCCTAAGAGGCCTAAGAGAATTTTTAGTAAGTTGTGGTCTAGAAGTTTGAGGTGAGAAGAACTAGAAATTTTTTATTTTTTTTTTTCCTTTGGCCTAGAAAGTTCTTGTTGGTTGAATTTCACCTTTGTATTGTTCCCCTTTGATAGGGTAAACATGCTCTGTCATATTTTTTTTTTTTTTTATTTTTTTTTTTGTAATTCTTGCATCAAATCATTGTATTATGTAAGATCAAATCACTCAGCAAGTCCATTGTATCTGTCTAAACTCTATGTATGTGGGGATCTCTTTCTCCCAAAGCCATTGTAAATTTGTGTTATTTATGTCAAGATTAATTGCAGAATGTACACCTGAGATTTAACTTAATCTATGAAAAACAGAGAAAAAAAAAAATGATGATACTTCATGATCTGTGATGACCAGCAGCACAACAGATTAATTGGGCCACCAAGTGTAGACCAGTCAAATTTTGGCCCGGCCCAGTTTCGACCGGATCTCTTTTCAGATGGAACGAAATGAACCGGGCTTATTCGCCCGACCAAACGGGCAGCAGCATAACTGACCAGGCTAGCCCGTTCGCCTCGCGAACGCTAAGTGCAATTAAACACGATAACCCCCCGTGTGAGCCGTGTTTTGGCCGAAGCAATTGCGACTCGAAAAGCCTTCGAGCCAATGGGTTCAACCCGGACCTAAGTCGATAGCTCTAAAACACCAAGTATAATTTGCAACGGTTAAAACAATAAATCGACGATAAATACAAGACTTCAAAACGCACTTCTCCGTTTTCTTTCCTCGAGTCGAGACATCATATCGTAACTATAAACACAAATTCTTGTCTGAACACACTATACGAACAAAAGATTGTCCAAAAACATATATCAAAACTTAAAACAAAAGAAATCCCATTTGAACATAGAAAAAAGCAAAAGGCAACATTAAGTTGATTATCACAAACAACAATATAACAGAACATGGACTACGACCCATCGTTTATTTTTATTCGGAGCCCTTCAGTTAGCAACTGCATCAACCGAGCTGCCCGACTTGCATACGGACCCTTTCGGATCCGCTTCGTCATGTGGGCCCATGCTGCTGGACCTCTGAAGGCCCGGCCCACGGTGCAGCCTGCAGCGGAATGAGCCCGCGTGGGTTGTGGGAGAGCAAAGGCAGTTGTGCTTGCTAACACTCCCCTGCCTTGAAAGCGAGCTGTTCGGGCCCACCGGGCCCGTTTTCGGAGACGTGATCTCGGGAATTTTCACCTTGATAACCTTGCTGATCACAGCTTCATTTTCCATTGCTTATTTAT